TGAGTTATCACAAAATTTATTATCAACTCTAGGTTACTCTAGATGAACATTTTTCTACATGCCTCAAAATTAATATTTTATTAATATTTTAATAAATATTAAAATTCATGTTTTTCTACATGCCTTTCATCCTAACTTTGAAGTGTGAAATGTTTTCTCACGGCTCAGATATTGCCTACAAATTAATGTTAAAGCATTTGGGGTCCTCAAGATGTAGGGAAGATACTATTGTGATAATGCCAGCACAATTAAGAAAAAGCTTTTTTAACATTCAAAGTCTGAGACACAATCTCCTTTTCCCCATCCCACACATGTAAACCCACACGTGCACCAAACTGAAAACACTGCTATAATTTATCCTCCAACAACATTAAAGCTGAAACACTGTACACAGAGGACATATTTTCTGAAAGATGACACTTGAAATTCACAGGTAAGTTTAAGGTCATTCTTATAAACATGTGCCTCTGTACCAAAATAGCAAAAGCCACATATCAAAAAGAGGAATCATTCCATGTGTTTATCTAGCAGTATCTTCAACAGATTCTTGTGCACAGGGTCATTTTAGAATGATGTCACTTGAAGTAACATGACAAGTCAGAGATAGTGTTTAACCATGTAATAAACAGTAGCATTCTTAATCTTTTAAGAGGAACAAATAAAGACAGTCGGACACAGTGTCAGTATCTATACATAAGCAGATACATTTCAAGTTCCCAATATCTTAAAACATTTTAGTACAAATATTTTTACCTCAGATAATTAAAAGAAACAAACCAGCAATAATAAACAAACATCTAGCCAACATAATATGAATTAAGGAACAGGTTTATAATGTGGCTGGAATTTGAGGGAACAGAAACAGTCCCCTAGGAAAGAAATCTCATACCAATAAAATAAAGCAACCTCATAACTCTTAGCTTGCAAGTTTCATGTTAAAAGGAAAGCAGTACCTTCGCTAACTTGATTACGCTAGGTGGGAGGGGGAGAGAACGGGGAGTAAATGAAAGTCACAGAACATCCTTGTGCTCCGTTTTAACAATGAATTAGAGGGCTTTTCTCCCCTTAGAGCTCTCCACAGGTAGCAAAAAGAGCAATTAGCATTTAATTTATCCTTGCTGCCGTCACCATTTATCTACTGAAGATGCAAATAAAAAGTGCAAATAGTTCTAATGGATGACGGGGCTGGCACACGGACAGGGGACGCACGACGAAGGGGAGGCAGTCCTCGATGCATTTACAGAACGTTCAGCTTTATGAATTCCCTCTATGGTGATCCATGTGTACACTCAGTTTTAAGCTTTTAGTACTCATCTAAGTTTTCCTACCTTTAAAAAGGGAAGATGATATTTGAGACATTTCCTTTAATAAAACAAGTCTAAATGATAGTTGCTACTATTTGACACAAAAACATATTTTCTTACCTTTGGAGACACTGATGGGTTATATGAAGACAGACACATCAGCCTCCAAGTATCTAAGTCCCTACACCCTTTATTCCCAGGATAATATGTTTTTAAAAAATGCACACAATGTATGCAGGGTGAGAATGCACTATAACACTTAGCATTTTCATTAATATATGAGTCTTCTTAAATCGAAATAATTCTCCTTCATTCCTTCTTTGTCTCCCTCTTACTGTGACTACCTATGTATAGTGACTTCTTGTCTAAAAGAGTAAAAAATCCTATTTTAAACACACAAAAAATTAACATTCTACTTTTGGTTGAAAGCCAGTGTTGGAACAATACATTAAAAAAAAAAACAAAAAAAAAACCCAACTCTCCTACTGTTAGTGTACCAGGATCGTCCTCCTCCTCCAAGCCCTCCCCTGCCTGACGCCTGCCCACCGCCGACTCCAGCAGGCACGCGCGCGCCCTCACCCGCACCATGGGTTTCAGCACTGCAATCGCTCACAGCCAGTACCGATGCCCGCGGACGCTCAGTAGGGACTATGCTGAAGAGGAGGAGAGGGGAAGGGGAGAAGGAGGTGATAATTTCGGTTTTAAATTAAAACAAAAGTAAGGAGGATTACGGTAGATGAAAACGAACTCCCTACCTAGTCTGGTTTTATTCCAGAACCAAGGGATATGGAGATTTAGATATCTGGAGGGAATAGATAACTATTCCCCTAGAAATGAGGTACTATTATTGGTTCATTTCATAAAGTAAGGGAAGTAAGTGGAATTAGGGCAAGGATGTGGTAAGTTGCTTATATACATAAAGCCAGAAAGTTCTAGAGCAGGAAGTAAAATTCAGGCCTGATTCCACAGCATGGTTGATCTGTGTTGGTCAGATTTTTTGCTAAAATGCAGCTATCAGATTTGCCTTATCATTTTTACTTCTGCCTAAAACAGCTGAACAGATACTCCTCTACAAAAACACTTTGTTAAATTTGAAAGGAGAGAGAACACTGGGAAACTGGTTATCCTGATCACTTGCAAAGTCTTGCATGTAGAAAGTATTTACAAATATATATTAAATAATTAAATCAGTCTGGATTGAGGAACTACAAAGATGTAAGATGAGAAACAAACTCCAATCCAAGGTCATGCAGAAACCAACTACAGGATTCTAGATGGACTCAAGTCTTCCATCTGCTGAAGTCAGACTCACGTCTCCCAGCAATGAAATGAAAAGAATTAGGCTTTTTCTACTTTCTGTCAGCTGTTACACGCTCTGTGGCCTACCAAAGTGGAACTGTTTCCTTAAAAAGATAATAAAAAAGGAGACTAGGGGCAGACATGCTCTGTTTTATGGCATTTAATACATCATATATAAAGCCTTCTTCATAATCTGCCTTAAAAGTCAAACAACTAGACTGAAATGAGAAATCTTAGATGTCTAATTTGGGTTAAAATATTCAGTCTAGTTGTAACATGTAATTAACTTTGAGACTATAAGCACTGCACTGCTGATACACACAACATATGAGATTAGACCCTAAAGAATTTTAATTAGGATTATTTAGATAGAACTAAATAGATTCAGCTTTCAATAAGAGGGAAAGTTTGCAACTTGATCAATGTCCTCTGGGATATTAATATGTATCAAAGAGCAGGACATGAAAGTTCACAGAGAAAACAGGTAAAGGAGCCTTTATAGCTGAAATCACTATTATACCTAAAGTTTTTATACCTACAGTTAGTGTAATAAAGTAAAACTCCCCACCTATAACCTAAGCAATTATAATTCTACTTTAAAAAACTGCCACCATTCATAATAGCCTATGTTCTAGGGCTTAGAAGGGCAAGATTATATTAGTGTTAAGATTATGTAACATATTATCTAAGAAAAACCCTGAAACAAGAGGTCTTCAAGGAACTGGACAGTATAATTATTATATTTTAAGTGTTTCTCAAGTTCATTCAGGAAATAAACTGTAATATGTTGCTAAGATATAACTATTCATGTCAGAGCTTGTCTGAACATTCTCCTGAAGTCAAGTGTGACCATGTATGAATGAAAAGTAATAGACACTAAAGGGGGAGGGGGGAGGAAATCACTGGAAAAAAAGACAAGTCATTCTGACCAAGATTCTAGGTTGTAGAAACATAACTTTTGAGGATAAAGTCTCCATTTTTAGAGAACACTATAACAATGCTTTTACAAGTGCTATCTCTTCCACTGACATCACCTTCACACGACCTTGGAGAAAACCTTTACAGATCTTCATATTTATAACAGATGAAAGACGGAAGGCGCCAACGGGAGACTCTAACGAAGCTTCCTACAGATTGACACTGCTCGTCCCCTTTGCTCTGAGTGCCAGAGTAGGCAGTTCTGACTCCTGCTATCCAGGCCACTCTAACAATATTTATTTATTAGGAAAACTAATAATATTACACAAAGTATTCCTTTGCACATGTGCATGCACACACGTTGTGCACATACACACAGGAATTTAGTACAAGCCATTTTTCACACTTGTTTCTTGACTAACTCACCCACTACTAACAATTATCTGGAAGGAACAGTCTACTCCCCTAAAATAACAATTTAAGATCAAAGGAGATAGGAACACTTTAACATTACAATCTTCAAAAGAGGCAAAGCCTTTTGCAGCTGAAGGCAGATGGTGACAATCTAATCCCAGAGTCAAAAATACCATGGAAGCAGATACCAGGAAATATGACAGGACAGCTCTGCCAAGGGCCCACTAAGGGGTCTAAACGCACTGATTTCTGCTGTTGCCTCTTTGGTTTCCTGTGTGCTTAAATTCTTTCCTGTACATATAACTGACAGTGGTAATATATAGCATGTTAAAACTCATTATGTGTTAAGGGTCTCTTTTAGTATTATAGAGAAAGAGCTCGCTCTGTAACAATGAACTAAAAAACTTGGTGTTTTGATGTAGGTGAGAAGTTCAATTGACCTGACTGATTAACGATATGCTATTAACAATACAACTTTTTTTCAAATTAGATGGAACTAGAAGAGTTGGGATTTCCTGCTGGCTCAGACAGTAAAGAGTCTGCCTGCAATGCAGGAGACCTGGGTTCAAGCCCTGGGTTGGGAAGATCCCTCAGAGAAGGGAATGGTAACCCACTCCAGTACCCTAGCCTGGAGAAGTCCATGGACAGAGAAGCCCGGTAGGCTGCAGTCTATGGTGTCGCAGAGTCGGACACAACTGAGTGACTAACACACTTTCCCACACTTTTTCCTTTTTTTCAGAAAAGTTAAAAAAAAGTGCTGATTCTCCCATGACAATTTATTAATGGGAAAATATTCTGCAGATGAAGTAAGAGAAGGTATACTAAACTTCTGGCAAATTGTCTAGTATCTTCCTATAAAAACTAAATCATTACTTAGACTCTTTTTCCTGACTTCTTTTAGGTTCAAGTTTTAATGAGCTTCTGATTTTTATAACTTGCAGATAATCAAAGACCTGCAAGGAAATGTCACACTAGACACAAAAACGCACCACCCAACCTTTTATACTACTTCCTATCAGAAGATTATGAGCAGGCTGTGTAGCTTCTGCTCAGTGTATTTCTTACCTTGGCTCCTTCTAAAGGCACATCATTGCGCCTGTGTTTCCGGAGAAGCACTGGGTCAGAGCCCATCCGACTATGCCTTCCGTTTGCACTGGAACTCGCCGTGATTCCAGGCTTCGGGGAGCCGTCCCCAAGGAGGCGACATCCCACCGACTGATTAGTCCCCAGCACGTCCCGCGGGCACCAGGCTTCAAGAGGCACGGGCTGGTCTCTGGGAGGCACGCTTTCCACGTGATGGATGTGACGGCTCAGTCTGTTGTCCGGGGGCACTGGGGGAGGCCTCTCGGGTGGAGGGGGAGGAGGGTCTCTTAAGGGTGGTGGTGGGGCTGGGAGTGGTTTATCTTGTTTTCTCACCATGCAAGGAGAAGACTGAAGAAACACAGAGGAAAAAAGAAAAGATGTTTCATGCACTGAAATACCTTCCAGACTATTATTGCTTTTGTTTTCTAAGCCAAAATAGAGCTTTCTTAGATTCCTGTGCCTTCTTTTAATGAGTTTCTTTTATTACCAATTAATGAAAGTTTAAAAAATTATGAAAAACTCAAATATGTCTCATTAAGATTTCTTTGTAAAAAATGAACATATAAACTCAAAATTTAGGATTATAAGGACTACAGGAAAAAAAACAGCAGAATATCAAAATTATATGATGATTCTGACCAGTTGACATTAAAATAATGAGTCACTAAGTATTTTATTTGCACGTTTCTATGATTTAAGAGAGACAGCAGATACCATCAAGAAGTTGTTGCTTACTTTTTAAAAGAACACCTTGATTTGCAACATCTCTGAAAAACAGAAAATGCTGGCTTTGTTATTTTTGTTTTCACCTCTATAATACAAAGCAGCTGACAAGGGCAAGATGTGCTCTGGTTCTTTACCAGTCACGGGTAGCGCTAGTGGTAAAGAATCCACCTGCCGATACAGGCCTTGCAGGTTCGATCCCTGGGTGGGGAAGATCTGGAGAAGGAAATGGTAACCTACTCCAGTTTTCCTGCTTGGAAAATTCCATGGGCAGAGGAGCCTGGGCAGGCTATAGTTCGTGAGGCTGCAAGGAGTCAGACATGACTGAGCATACACAAACACACACCGGAAGAATGAAAAATCACAAATAATAGAGCAGTGTTACGTATAGACTTTACTTGCATTGTATTGATCCTTGGGGAAAAAAACCAGATTCTTATATGGAAATATAAAGGTATAAGCTGCTAAATTGATCTGTGTGACTTTCACAGGCTTTATTTTCATTTACACAGTTCATCTGACAAATGATTTGTGCTTTTATTGCTAGGAAATATCATAGAAAAAAGGAATGTGTTGTGTTTCCATAATTCTGACTAAATAACATCCTAAAAAGTCTTAATATGATCTTAAAACTGTGTTAATTGTAATGTAGAAAAATCCAGTACTACTAAAACACTGTGTTTCCAACTAGTTTTACACTGTAAAGCATGTCACCAAATGCGATTAATGTTTAAAATCTTATATTTAATAAAGCAAAATATTCCCTTATCAAATTTGGAAAAAAAGATCTGCACAGAACTAAAATTAACTGTGGGCTTAAATGTACAGATAGAATTATGTCTTTAATATTAAAGAGGAATATAATTACTTTGCAAATACTGTAATTCTTTGTAACTAATTCCTTCATATACAAAAGGTACATGTAATTCCCTCTTCTGAGTCACCTTGAAACATGGGTGATAATTTATCACATCCTAAGCCCTTATGCAAATACACTTCTGTAACATTTTTCTTGTCAAGACACTATGAAAATGAGTATAAAATATCATTTAATAAGAACATGCAATTTATTTTAATACATATAATGACCTTTTAAATCCATTTTACAGAATAACCATACTTACTCTACTGTTTATTTTAGCAATCAGGGGGCTGTTACAGACATGTGCTCTCTTTGAATAATTATGCAACTGTTAACAGTAATAAAGGCAAGGAATATGATCGTGGATTTGCTACACACCACATGAGAGACCCATCAAAGTAGCTCATAAACGAGAGCATAAGAAATAAGATTAATGGAGATTTAAAAACCTGAGCAATCAATACTCATCACATAAAACTACTATCTGTGTTTCTAGTAATACGATTTACCTTTGGTGAGCCAGTGGGGCTGCCACAGGGAGACCGAACTATGCCTTTCTGAATGAGGTCCAGGCGGGGAGGCACTGGAGGGAGGCTTAGATGTGGGATCTGGAGAGGGTCTGGGTGTGGCTTTCTTCTCTGAGCCAGGGGAGAGGATCCGGGAGACGTGACGGGGGAGCTCTGCCTCTCAGTGCACTAGGACACAAAAAGAGAAGGATGCCGCTGTGTGGCGTGCGGAGTGTGCACCTTTCAGCTCTTACAGCATTTGGTTTTGAGAATGTATCTGCCACTGACCATCTGTGAAAATAAACTCACTTAGTTCACTCTGATTAATAGATGGAAAGAGCACACATGTTTCCCTCAAGGGCAGTATCATGTAAAGAATAAACAGAGTAGTTTCTCCTACATATTGCCTAGGAAAAAAGCAGCAGAATTGCAGTTTTAAGACAACCAAATGCAGGCCTTCTTCTAGAAACCTGTCTCCAGAAACACACAACGCAGTGATGCACACTGCTCTTGGTTATCTCTGTTATAGAATCTTCTTAGGTGTTTGGTTTAGAGTACAAATCATTCTGTTCCATATAAGGTATGTATAATATCTAATGTATAATCTACTTTAATGAATAAAATCAGACAGGTTTTTTTTCTTTAAGTTGTATATTTAAAATAAACAGCTTTAAGACCAAATATTTCCCCCGAAGTCTTCACATGGAAATTAAAGCCTCAAGTTAAATGTTCTTCTTTAAACACAATTAAACCTAGGAAACTCTGTACTTCTAAAGCACTGATAGATTTCTATACCATTACAGGGTCTCCGTGTTATTTGGTAGATGAAAGAGCCGTCAATAAGCACTCTGATTTGTATGTATGTATGCACACTTCCCTGGTGGCTCAGTAAGTCAAGTGTCTGCCTCCAGTGCAGGAGACCCAGTTCGATCCCTGGGTCGGGAAGATCCCCTGGAGAAGGAAAGGGCAACCCACTCCAGTATTTTTCCCTGGAAAATCCCATGGACGGAGAAGCCCGGCAGGCTACAGTCCATGGGGTCGCAAAGAGTCAGACACGACTGAGCAACTTCGCCTTCATGTAACCCTTTCTATTTTGAAAGAGTGTGTGTACGTGTGCGCATCCGACATAGCCTGATTTTCATATTTGATATAAAAGTCATCCTAATTAATTAAACAATATTCTATTCTGAAACACCAGGCGGTTTTCTTTTCAACGCTGACTTACTGCCTATCTACTTGGAGATCTAGGCTTACGCTTGATACTTAACATCAATCTAACATGCTTTGATATTCATCTGTTTCCTAGTGTGACTACTTATGAAAAACCTGAAGCTTGTGTTTTAGCCATTCTCCCCTAACATTGCTCACCTTTGCAAGAGCAGTCAATGCCAACTGTCAATTTAATTCCAGCTCCAGCAACAGCGAGAAGGGCCCTTGACTGAGATAATAAATCTGCGTTCACACCCACACTGAGTTCCATCCTGGGAGGTTTTCTTTCTTAATTTACTAAAATCGGCGTTTGATTTTTTTCTCATGACTAGACTAGACTTATGGGTTACTGGAAGGAAGGCCATGTTGATCAAATAACACTTAAATGACATCACATCAAGGGTCTACACTATCCATGTGATTTCATCACTATTGATGCTTACCTTGACTGCCTGGTTAAGACACTGACTGTCAGGGTTTCTACACTATAAAATTACTTTTTCTACCCTTTCCTTTACTCTACTCTCTGCCAGAAAGTTACTATGTGAAGCCCACATCAAAGTAGTCGGGACTTGCTTTTTAAAAATTAGCATGTCTAAGCAGAAGCTTCCAGATTATACCTTAGGTATACCTGAATATTGTCATAACATCACTAAACTATCAATTCTCTGCCTCTCTACTCTGCCAAATAAATGAAAAATAGGCCAATAAATGTCGATGCACCACATGTAAATTTTAAGAACATTTTCTTTTTATTCATTTCATGATTCTTTTTTTGTATCCCTTACCTTGTGATAAGGCAAAACATTCAACTGTTATTTAATTGAAGGAGGAAAAGTAGAAACTCTACAGAGGCATAACCTGATTTTAATGCAGCAAGTCACTCTTATTAGTAAAACAACAGTTTCACCCCAAAAGCCGTGGAGCCTCAGATGGTCATGAATTTCAAACTGATGGAGCAAAACCAATCAAAACTGATCACACAACAGAAAAAAATCCTGATGTCAAACTACAAGCATCACAGTCGGTGGCAACTCAGATCAGGAGAGGTCACCAGACATCTAATTCTACCCAATTCCCATTAAGGATAAATTACATTATTTGAAAACTAGTGAAACTGATCTGGTTATTATTCTTTACAAAAAAAGATTCAAGAAACAAACGCATCGTACGTAAGTTTTACACATATACAAACACACACACAGAATACAGAGCATGTCATTGTTTCAGTTACTTGCAAAGAAAATTTTCAGTGCTAGGTCCATTCACAGGAGAAGGGGGTAACAGAATATGAGACAGTTGAATGGCATTGTCAACTCAGTGGACATCAATGGAGACTGAGCAAACTCCAGGAGACAGTGAAGGACAGGGAAGCCTGGCGCGCTGCAGCACATGGGGTCACAGAGAGGCGGATGTGACTTAGCAAGTGAAAAAACAACAAGGTGCGTTCACCACAAAGAACATCTATGCTCCACCATGCACTTTTCTGCCACAACTATCTGCCCGCTTCCTTAACTACCCGAACAGGAAGGGGAATCCTGACAGAGTCAACGGCCCACTGTTACCATCAGACCTTGACTTCTGCTTTAATTACTAATTTAACATTTCAGCAATACCAAATCCCCAAGAAAAAGAAATGCAAAAAAACAAAATGGCTGTCTGAGGAGGCCTTACAAATAGCTGTGAAAAGAAGAGAAGTGAAAAGCAAAGGAGAAAAGGAAAGATATACCCATTCAATGCAGAGTTCCAAAGAATAGCAAGGAGAGATAAGAAAGCCTGCTTCAGTGATCAATGTAAAGACATAGAGGAAAACTATAGAATGGGAAAGACTAGAGATCTCTTCAAGAAAATTAGAGATACCAAGGGAACATTTCATGCAAAGATGGGCTCAATGAAGGACAGAAATGGTATGGACCTAACAGAAGCAGAAGATATTAAGAAGAGGTGGCAAGAATACACAGAAGAACTATACAAAAAAGATCTTCATGACCCAGATAATCATGATGGTGTGATCACTCACACTCACCCAGAGCCACATATCCTGGAATGGGAAGTCAACTGGGCCTTAGGAAACATCACTACAAACAAAGCTAGTGGAGGTGATGGAATTCCAGTTGAGCTATTTCAAATCCTAAAAGGTGATGCTGTGAAAGTGATGCACTCAATATGTCAACAAATTTGGAAAACTCAGCAGTGGCCACAGGACTGGAAAAGGTCAGTTTTCATTCCAATCACAAAGAAAGGCAATGCCAAAGAATGCTCAAACTACCGCACAATTGCACTCATCTCACACACTAGTAAAGTAATGGTCAAAATTCTCCAAGCCAGGCTTCAGCAATACGTGAACCGTGAACTTCCAGATGTTCAAGCTGGTTTTGGAAAAGGCAGAGGAACCAGAGATCAAATGCTAACATCCTCTGGATCATTGAAAAAGCAAGAGAGTTTCAGAAAAACATCTATATCTGCTTTATTGACTATGCCAAAGTCTTTGACTGTGTAGATCACAGCAAACTGTGGAAAATTCTGAAAGAGATGGGAATACTAGACCACCTGACTTGCCTCTTGAGAAACCTATACGCAGGTCAGGAAGCAACAGTTAGAACCGGACATGGAACAACAGTCTGGTTCCAAATACGAAAAGGAGTACGTCAAGGCTGTATGTTGTCACCCTGCTTCTTTAACTTATATGCAGAGTACATCATGAGAAACGCTGGGCTGGATGAAGCATAAGCTGGAATCAAGATTGCAGGGAGAAATATCAATAACCTCAGATAAGCAGATGACACCAACCTTATGGCAGAAAGTGAAGAAGAACTAAAGAGCCTCTTGATGAAAGTGAAAGAGGAAGAGTGAAAAAGTTGGCTTAAAGTTCAACATTCAGAAAACTAAGATCATGGCATCTGGTCCCATCACTTCATGGCAAATAGATGGGTAAACAGTGGAAATAGTGGCTGACTTTATTTTTTTGGGCTCCAAAATCACTGCAGATGGTGATTGCAGCCATGAAGTGAAAAGATGCTTACTCCTTGGAAGGAAAGTGATGACCAACCTAGATAGAATATTAAAAAGCAGAGACATTACTTTGCCAACAAAGGTCTGTCTAGTCAAGGCTATCGTTTTTCCAGTGGTCGTGTATGGATGTGAGAGTTGGACCATAAAGAAAGCTGAGTGCCGAAGAATTGATGATTTTGAACTGTGGTGTTGGAGAAGACTCTTGAGATTCCCTTGGACTGCAAGGAGATCCAACCAGTCCATCCTATAGGAGATCAGTCCTGGGTGTTCATTGGAAGGACTGATGTTGAAGCTGAAACTCCAATACTTTGGCCACCTGATGCGATGAGCTGACTCATTTGAAAAGACCCTGACGCTGGGAAATGTTGAGGCCGGGAGGAGAAGGGGATGACAGAGGATGAGATGGTTGGATGGCATCACCAACTCAATGGACATGGGTTTTGGTAAACTCCAGGAGTTGGTGACAGACAGGGAGGCCTGGCCTGCTGTGGTTCATGGGGTCACAAAGAGTCGGACACGACTGAGCGACTGAACTGAACTGAAATCCCTAGTATGTTTAGGTAATGGGATGTACTTGATTTGAATTGGGTGAATTGTTAAGATATTAAGTGAGTATACTGAAAATCCTCAGACAGACATCCAAACCAAGATGTGGGGTGCAGCAGTAATCCTGAACATCAAGATACCTGCAGACAAGCACCCTCTCCACAGTTCTGTGAATGTAATCCGAAGCAAATCTTAAGAATACTTAATACTACACTCTCAAAGTGATTTTATACTGTCCTCCTGAAAGACTAATTTATTTTGAAGCATTATAGTATGTGTAAGTTGGCTTAGTCATAATGGAGGGTATATCAGTAGTGAAGAAACAAATGTTTTTATCTTTAATGATTATGTGGTCTAAATTTACCATAACGTATTCATTTTCCAGAGTTCTCCTACATCACAGTAAAATTCCCATGTAAGAG